ATCGATACGGAATCAATCCATAGCCATAGGGGTACTGTGAATGAAGCCCTAAGCAAACAGACTTGCCAAAGAACCAACGCTATTCACCAACAAACTCCTGCCGCCATTGGCCCGTTCGAAATACAGGTAAAGAGACCAGAGGCAAAGGGCACAAGTGACCAGAACGGAAAGCATTGTCGGGTGCTGTAGCGTTTATGCAGGCGGAATACTACTCTGTTATTTCCCCAGCCCTTTCTTGGCTGATGATGTCGTCACACCGGAGATTGGTAATATCAAGCAGTAAGTGGACAAAAGACTACAAGGGCTACAGCTGGTTATGAGAATATATTCACTAGATTTGGTCCAAGACTTTCTCACACTCAACAGCATACCCAAATACTTGTAAATCAATCAGATGGTTCAGTGAGACCCGCGAGCACGAAGGAAATAAAGCTGCTGACAAATCATCTCCAAGCAAAGCCAAATAAATATACCTCAGTTACGGAGTGCCAGAACAATATAAAGCTCTAATCCATAGACGCATTTATTTCATTTTGGATGATTGCCACTGCCACTAACCCTTGACTTTAAACATCATGACCAACATCAACATCCAAATCATCTCCGACACCGTCTGTCCGGTACGCACCCCATATACTCCACCTAATCCCTAAGTCTAACCCATGGAAGTGGTGCTACGTCGGCTACCGCCGTCTCTCGCGGGCCATCACAGCCCATAAAGCCAGGTTCCCATCCGACACCTTCACCCTCACCTGGCACGCCTTCTACCTGAACCCGTCTTCCCCGGAGTATCCCGGCGTGGACAAGCGCGAGCTCTACGCCTCCAAGTTCGGCGAGGGTCGAGTCGCGGCGATTTTCTCGCGCCTGACGGCCGCGGGCGAGACCGACGGCATCGCGTTCAAGTTTGGTGGCAAGACGGGGAATACCCGTGATTCGCACCGGGTGCTTTGGTATGCGGGCTTGAAGGAGAAAGAGGCGAGGGCTCGAGAGGGTGCTGCGGCTGCGACTAACGGGGAGGCGAGCGAGGAGAAGGTGGGTGGGCTGCAGACGAGGGTCGCTGAGCAGTTCTTCCGCGCCTACTTTGAGGAGGAGAAGAATATTACGGATCGGAGGGTGTTGGTTGATTCCGCGGCGGCGGCCGGATTGGACCGCGGGGAGGTTGAGAAGTTCCTGGAGTCTGGCGATGAAGGAGGAAAGGAAGTGGACCTCGAGGCCGAACGAGCGCGACGCCGCTTGGTCACTGGGGTCCCGTATTTCACCGTGCAAGGGCAATATGCCATCGAGGGCGCGGATGAGCCGGAAACCTTCCTGGAGGTGTTTGAGAAAGTCAAGCAAATCTCTTAATCTAGGAAATCTCTAGAATACTTATTGAACACGTCTAATGTTGTAGAGTATGCATAAACTAAGCCGCGTTAGAGAGCCAGGTTAAATCACATCACATCTCATAAGAGCTAGACGGGAAGGACCACATTTCTAGCAAACATCACATGAAGCAGAAGTTGAGCACTGATGGCATCAAGTACAAGTCCACCTCAACGCCATTCCATGCGAGCACACAAGGACATCGTTGATTGGAGATAAAAACAACTCATCACAGAGACTCCCGCTATCCATGACACACCTAAACAAGGAAACCACAAGGGATCTTTCAATGATAATACAAGGTTGATGAAAAAGACAGATTCATGACATTGGCAACCGCAAAGACCGAATCATAGCAAAGAGGGGTCATGAATCAAGCATAGAAGACTGATCAATTTGGAAAGCCCAAAACCAGGATAGCAAGCCGACGGCTTCATCAGTCGAATCAATAAGTGGGGGCCTGGCTCAGTTCAAAGCCGGGAATATGGTCAAACCAATCGGTATCAGGATTGTAGCGATAGGCCTTAAAGTCCACGCCGTAAGGCTTGGGTTCGAGCATGTAC